TTCTGGCCTCCAGCCTCTCACAGAAGAGGAGGCACAACAGTCACTGTGAGTAACATACTGATCGGCACGGCATATTTTATCTGAAGAACAACAGAAGTCATTTTGCCTTGCAAAACTGGTATTGAGTTCAGCCAATTTCATGAATCCTCTTTTTCGATGCTTACAAAGTGGACCTTTTTGGATGGCAGAGCACAGCTGATTGAGAGATCCTCCTCCCACTCCTAGCACAACGAGGCAAGACTCCTGGCAGTTCACATACCACAGGGCAGCGAACAAAGGCTCTCTGAAGAATGTAGAAGTGGCGTTAGGAATTTGGGCAGTGTATTAGGAAGCGTTTCAAGCTAAGCTGCTGTAATAATGAAATTTTGCACAAACAGGTCTTCCTGGTGTGTACTCGCTTGTTTAGTCAATGCTGCAAAAAAAAGCCTCTGTAACGACTGTACCAACCTTGAATAATTGTTCTAGGCAAGCTAAAACCTCAGCTTATACAAGCTTTTGACCTCCGTTGCTGACAAAGAGGAAACTATCTCAATAAGATCCTTATGCAACACGACTTTATAATTTAGAAGTGTTTTTAGTTCTGAGGCTTTTGTGTTACATTGCAATTTGATGTTTGTAAACCTTTTACAGCTTCTGTTGGCGAAAACGTCCTCTGAGCTCCCCTTCTCATAAAAGTGCGCCGTTCTTGACAGCAGCAATTAACTGTTTGGGTACAAACTTACAGGGTCTGATACGGTGCTGCTTGTCTCTTAATGACCATGTTAGGCTTGTTCTGTTACTTTGTTCCTCAAGTCTTGTTTGCCTTATCAGTTCTTTCTACAGTAGCTGGAATTTGGCAGGACTATCCAGCTATTGTCTTTTGTTTCGTTCCATGAGACCAAGAACACTGACACAACTCCTTGTTTCAGTTCTGTTCCCTCATCCTCCTGAATATTGCCTCTGTATGAGCTTTTAATAATGCTGAGAAAACAACCGACCTTCTCCTAGGCATTGTTCTGTTGTTGGGTGCCAAATGTCTGGCTCAAACCACTTGAGTGAGCTGATCAAAGCCAAGACTGTGCTGGCTGCTTACTAGGAAATGTGGATAATACACTGCTTCTGTAATTCGGTATCCCCTTTCTGTCTTTGCCACGCTTTGATATGAATCCCTGTGCAAGCATTTTGCTTGGAGAGCATGTCATACACTTCGGTTTCATATCACATTACATTAATTCATAGCTGCACATTAAAAGAAGCTGTACATTGGCTCTTCTTCTCTATACACAGTAAGGAGAGAAAAGCAATCTCACGGTCTTTGTGTGCTAGATCCTGTGGAGTTCACTACAACTTTGTCTCCAGGGTTGAATACAGAACAAAAACTGTAGTCTGGTCATTTTTATTCTGTGTCAAATTTCACACCAGTATAGCGCATTACAGTTGTCCGGTTCGCTACACAGTGACTACCAAAAGTATTCACCCAACTACGACTTTCATATTTTATTGTTACAATTTGAAATCGTAAAGTTTTAATTGGTATTTTTTGCCATTAATTGACACAACACACTCCATAATGTCAAAGTGAAAAAATTTGGTAGATCCCCCACCCCCCCCATGAGTCAGTATTTGGTAGAGGCATAGAGGCACCTTTGGCAAAAATTATAGCCTTGAGTCTTTTCGGCTCTCTTCATCTCTATTAGCTTATTAAAATTGCAAAATCTCTCAAGCTCCCTCAGGTTGAATGGGGACCATTAGTGATGAGCAATTTTCAACTTCTGCCACAGATTCTTGGTTGGATTGAGGTCCGGGTTTTGACTGGGCCACTCCAGAACTTTGCCTTTTTTGTTTTTAGGCCAGTCTAGTGTGGCTCTGGTTGTATGTTTCGGGTCCTTGTCCTGCTGGAAGATAAAGCAGGCTTTCCTCCAGGATTTCTTTGTACTTTGCTGCACCCGTTTCGCCTTCTTTCTTCACAAGTCTTCCAGGCCCTGATGCAGCGAAGACTCCCCATAGTATGCCACTGCCACCACCATGCTTCACAGCAGGGATGGTGTTCTTAGGGTGATGTTCACCGTTATTCTTGAACCAAACATACACTGTAGCGCTTAGTATAGAGGCTTAAAAGGACAATTTTGGTTCCATCAGACCTTAGGCTCATCTTCCATCTTGGTCACAGTCTTGCATGCCTTTTGGCAAACTGTAGTCGAGGCGGATGTGAGTTTTTTCCAACACTGGCTTTCATCTTGCCACTCTCCCGTGAAGCCCAGATTTGTGAACCGCCAAGGTTAATGTTGTCGTACGCACAGCATCTCCCATCTCGGCCGTGGAAGACTAATTTCTTTAGCGTTGTCATTGGCCTCTTCGTGGCCTCTTGTCACTGGTGCCTTCCTCTCCCAGATACTGAGTTTTTGAGGGTGTCCTGTTCTGCACATATTCACAGTCATGTCATGTTTTCTCCATGTGTTTGTAATACTTTATTGCACTTTGAAGAGTGTTCAATGTGTTGTAAGTGTTCTTATACTCTTCCCCTGATTGGGTATAACCCAATAACCCTATCCTGGATTTGTTTTGGCTGTTCCTTATGTCTTCATAAAGCTGTACTAATCAACTGTGGGTCTTCCCAGATATACAGTAGGTGTATTTAACCTGAACTGATATGAAGATCCTTAATTGCACACAGGTGGACTCATTCAATTAATTATGGAACTTCTAAAGACCATATGTTGCACCAGAACCTGTTTAGGTGCATCATGGCAAAAAGGATGAATACTTGTGCAATCAGATTTTTTCTGTTTTATATTTATAGTTAATTTAGGAGGATCGGAGGAATTTTGTTTTCACTTGGACATTATATGCATCGATCAATGGCAAAACATCCCAATTCAATACATTGATTCCATATTGTAACACAAAAAAATGTGATGTGTGTCACGGGGTGAATACTTTTAAAAGCCATTGTAGATGGGAAATGAACACTTACCCTGGACAGAGAGAAACAAACTTCTCCTTAAGGTGAAGCATGTTAGGAATACTGGTCCAAATTTCATCTCCTTTCAATTTCCTAACGGGCCTCCATTGAAACATTCCAACCCCTTTATACCCATATTTTGCAACTACTTTGAAATTCTGAACGGGTTTTGCTGTGATTTAATATGAAACTTGAGTCTGCAGCCTGCTTCAGTTATTCCTGGATAGGAGGTGGGACTTGAACTGTAGCTACTACATTACTCTTTAATTAAAATCACTTTGAAAAGGCTGGGCGCGAAAAGCCAGAGGCCTCTATCTGTAACAGAGATCTGAGGCTCCTCAGTCAGAAGGCACTCTCCTACAACAAACTCGTTTCTTTCACAATAGCAGTGATGGGCCAGCTGATCACCTAGAAGCACACTACAAACCTCCCAGTGAACTGAGTTAGCTGCGATATTGTGAGGTTACAGGTCTTTCTGGTTTCCAATCCACACAGTCCCTGGGCCGTCACTCTAAAGAGCTTTCTGTCAGGGTTAACGTCTGCCTCTTAACTAGTAGGAAGCCACAGGTACAGATGTCCATCATAAGATTTGATACAATTCTGCTGTGCATGGCTGCCCCTGATACTTTTCAGTTTATGTACTGCTTTCTGATTATTCTTATGTACACGCTTTGGGGGTATTATTATAATATTCACTTATACTCACTTGTCGATCAGTCTGTTTTGTGTGTACACGGGCACTTTAGAACAAATAAATCAAATCCTTTATGAACAAAGCCTCGCTGTTCGCTATTCAGTTACAAAACTAAATCTGCATCATCGCTGTCTCATAGGATGTTACGGGACTGTATCTCAAGTCACCACAGCTCTCTTCCTGCAAGGCATGGAGTAAGTTTTTTAACGCGGATCGCGTATCTCGAACACTATAGACCACACAGCACTAAGCGCATTCGACTACGAAAACAGGGAAACGATTTTTCGCGTTGAACTACCTGGTAACGTAAGACTTCCCGTTAATTTCGGTGATTTGTCTTTCACAAGAGGAAAAAATGTATTATAAGCTCGGTCGCCGCGTTCTTCAAAACGGCTCTCATTACAGCAAGGAGTATCAGACTCGCGGTGCCATTGTGCTGGTGCTCCGCTTCAAAGCGGCAGCGTGTTAATAATCCATCGCTGTATCGGTGACAGGATCAAACACACTTTACTGGCGCAGCCCGTTTATTAACCACGGAGTACAGACACTCGATACCGCTGGATGAGAACATGATCAACACGGTCAAAATAACACGAGAAAAAAGAGCCGTCTTGATCCGCTTGTGAGTTGACGTGCTGCAGTTTTAGTACTGAAAGACGATTTAAAAAATGCTCGTTTGCCGAAACGAAAAGACGTCCTTTCGTAGTCTATCGATTTGACGTGTTGGAATTGTATCCCTTTTCAAAAACTAGTAGTTTTGTAAACTCACGATCATTCCTGGTCATTTCCTGTGTTGTCAGTATTGCATCTGTCAAGAGTACTGCCGCTTGAGCCGAAAATAAGCATTAGTTGGATTTCTTCAAAGTTTCATTCACATTGCGACCTTCCTTCAGAGTCCTGAAGTGAATATCGGAGCCTTTATGAAAAGCTTTTGGAGATTCCTCTGGATTAAAAAGTTGTATGTTGTAAGTGCAATGCATCATTGATATTTTATATAATGATACCTTGCACTTTTTACATCAAATCACAAAGATTTGTGTGCTTCAGTCCTCACCTTGATTCTACCAATTAAACTCCCCCCAAAACAATCATGTATACTAACAAGAAATACAGTTCGTATACCTCTAAAAGTCTACATATATCGCATGATGCACATAGCTGTTTATGGGCATCTTTTTTCTGTTTGGGGTATTCATTTATAACGCGCTTTCTCTTACTTGAAACTAGTTTAGGCCAGCACCATGTTCTCAAAACTGAATACAGTTTCGCTCCGAAATAATTTCGCTCGCTCCTGACATCTGTTCCTGCTCTCCAGCTTCGGGAGTCCCGTGGAACAATCTCGATTTCAGTTTAAAAACAACTCACCTGGTCAGCAAAACTGCGACTCCTCGGGACGACCAAGGGAGGCATTGGACTTCCATATAATCCCGAACACATGTCCCTCCGGGTTTTCTTTTTCTGGAGTTCTCGCTGTGGGGAAAACAACCTGTTCTGCGCCTCTGCGTCCCTCCCCTCCAGTACATGCAGAGAAAAGTTGCGGGGAGAGACAACAATGTGGGCCGCCTCTCCGCTGTTTGTGCGAGCTCTCTACCCCGCCCCCCTGAGCCAGACCCTCAGTGCTTCGCGTAAACGCGCACGCCAGCTGCTCGGAGCGCTCCCGAGTGGCCCCGGCCCCCAGTGCGAGTGTGTGTGTGCGCCACACGTCCCCCCCGCCCCCTCCCGCTCCCTCAATCAGCGAGCCCGCAGGGGCCCCGGGCCTCTCTCATTGGGCGAGCCCAGGAAGCAGGGGGTGGCGACGGGGAGTTCCAGCCAGCAAGCGAAAAAAAAAAAAAAGTACCCTAACAAAATCCTGGTACTAAGTGTCTTTGACAGCGGGGTTAGGGGTTAGTAATCCCGAAGCCTCCATCAATCCTCGGGATCCTGACGCTCACGCTGACAGGAAAGTGCGGCTTCGCTGTGCCGCAGGTGTCTTGACAGTTTTCCGTTTTCTCCCCTTCCGAGACCGGGCGGTATGTTATTGTAACGCATACTTACATGATGTTTTTTTTTATGTATACCCCCTCCTAAACTCCGGACAATCCTTCAAAAGCGGCTTCTTAAGAAGGCTGAAGCGCTTCACCCCGTAATATGATATAAATCACGCCTGCTGAGTCATCTCTTTTGCGGGTTGCTGGTGGTTGTAGGGGGTGATTTTCCGTTTCAAAGCAGAAAGCGCTCTCGATGAATACAGCTCTTGTTTACGCTGTAAATTAAAATTCCTTATGATGCCGCTGCTCGGCCCGTTTGAGTTGTGGAAGTGCTGTAAGATGATACTGTGACCGGCGTTTCCCTTGCACATACTGTACAGCTGTGTGGTATTAGGAATCCCTTTTCCAGTAATTTTAAAAATTACTGTAATGTAAATTACTGTAATGCACAAAATAACGGGACTTTCCCTTAAACATGCAGTAAGTTAAGCAATATGTATTGTACAGTCCTGTTCACGTTTATCACTGCATAGCCCGGGGTCAGGTACTTTCATAAACCCATATAAACGAGCGCACAATGTGATATATTTTATCAAAATTGGAAGCCAGCATATTCCTAAATGAATTTAAAATACATTTTTGTTTATATTTCAGTCTTGTGGAGCTTAATTGTTCCTTTCTATATCTAGAAAAGTAGAAAATATCTGCTGTCTATATCTAAAAAAGCAATGGGCTGTTTTTTCTAGGAAAAGAAGAAAAAAATTGCTCTAAATTGCCATGGACTGAATCCTGAAGAGAAGAATTTCAAAATTGTGAATGAAACAGATGCTGCCCCCTACTGAAAACATTGCTAAACGTGGAGCACACCAGTGTTGGCTGTAAAAGGACCTTCAGTACATACTGTATACAGAATTATTTCCAGTTTTATTTTTCTGGCTTAAAATGATTTGCTTTTGCAGAATGATTTCCAGTTGAATTGTTCTGGTGCGCACCCATTGTGTGGAACAAAGTAGCATTAAGAAATGTTTTTATGTGCTGAATGTATTTTATTTGGTTTGCATTTACATTGCAGACTCTACAGAGATACCCCAGAAATCTAAACTCCAGTATGAGCAATGTCGGTGTGCTTCACGCAGAAGCTTTTACGAGATGCAATTGTGTCAGCTTATCTTTCCTGTCAGTTTTGCATTGTTGTTCATGTTTCCGAATGGGCTCCTGATAGATCTGCCACAAGCCCGAGGTAGTCTGGGTGAAAGTGGAAGTTGTTTTGGCAGAGGTCTGTCAGACAAGCAGACAGCCTGACCTGGCCTTTTTAACACGGGAGAGGTTAAGGGGCCGATGAGCCAAAATAGTTCCTGCCCTGGTCTTCCTAATGTCAGGAGGTTTGGAAAACGTGTCTCGTCTTCTTGAAGTTATCAAAACAAACAGCAGGTGCTGAATGAAGGGAATTTACATTTTGCTAAGAAGATTAAGGATTACAGAGTATCCAACTGTAAACACTTGACTGATTATGACCTACTTATTACAATCCAGTCTCTCCATTGGTTCTGTAATGCAGACTGTTATAAACACAATTGCTGGTATAGGAAGTCTCCATACCTGATCAATAGAAATAAAGCTGAAATATTTTAAAAACATGAGCTGGTCATTTTTATCTTAAGTCACACAGTTTGAGATTCTTCAGTCACCATGCATCTTTTTCTGACTCAGATCCAACATTTTCTTAGGTTTGATTACCTACATCATATTTAGGGGAAAAATGGAGATAGATTGTAAAATTAACTATTTTATTAAATCTTTTAAAGGGTTTGTTCTAATTAGAATCTGCTCAGTTTCCAGGGTGTCTAAATTAACTCTTCTTTAACCGGTACAGTTAATTTTAGAGTTATGTATATGTTTATTTTGGTGATGTGTGCTATTTTCTACCCCACTGCAATCGATTCTTGATTTTAATTAAGCTTCAAAATTAGCAGCATTACATATACAATCAGATCAGATTTTGTTTGTTTTGTTTTCGGCCTGTGAAAAAATAGTTTTTGAAATTCAAAATCCATTTGCTGCCATGGTACCAGTTACGAGAATGTAGCCCCTGTGGTCTGTAATTTAATGGAAAGTTTTTAAAAATAATATTTTAGAAAGGTGCATGAGAATAATAAGGTGCAGGCATACAGTAGACCTGGAATTTTGCTTCTAAATTCTATACACTTGAATGTGTTTATTCATGGTGTTTAAATATTTTCTTGTTTTATGATCCATAAACAACCGTGTTTGGCAAAAAGACCTAATGTAGGTATTACTGGGAAACATTTTGTACATTTATGGATGGCATTCATAAATTGTTTTCTTACTGTTGTATAATAATAATAATAATAATAATAATTGCTTACACTTATATAGTGCTTTTCTGGACACTCCACTCAAAGCGCTTTACAGGTAATAGGGACTCCCCTCCACCACCAGTATCAGCTGACAAAGCAGAAAAGAATGTTTTCACATGCAGGACTGCTGAGAGACCCTATCACCACAGTTGTTTTTGCATAGTGTAAAATATGTATGGTTTTCTAAAAGCCAATTCACTATTCTCATCTTTGTTTCAGTAAAGTATTTTTCACAGTACCCAAGATCACCTCTCACCTAAAGAAAATTAATTTAGTCATGTTTTTCTAAAGTAAACCTGCTATGTCATATAATGGCTTTGACAGGATGAGTTCTATTAAGACAAATAAACCTTATTCTAAGAGCCTTATTGTTGGGTTGTGTGGGAATTGTCGTCAAGTCTCAAGACATAACTTTCTGCAGAAAATACACTTTTCTACGTAGAAAAAGTGTCTTTTCCATTGATTTTAATGTAGGAGGCTTTAAAAACTTGCAGTTTAATTTCCTGCTGTGCTGCTTGACAGTGAACTAAATGACAGGACAACAAATTCTAATAGCTGTCTACTGACAGCACAAAGCCTGTGCTGTCTTTACCTAGCGTCTGGGCGTCTCTGTGTTGTTTCAGCATGAAAGCTGAGTATAGACACATTCCCAAAGATGATGAACAGCGTATGACCAGGCAATATGGACAGGATGCATGTTGGGGTGGGGAGGATTGTCGTGATGCCTGTCTAGCTTCTGTTTACTGTCTGCTCTGATTCTGGAGTAAGCTGATCAAAACTGACCTCTCTGTACAGTAAAATGCAGAAGGAATTTTCTTTTTTTCAAAATTGTGCATTGTACCAGATCAGGGGTATCCAATCCAGAGCCCTGAGAAGTCACAGGCTCTGCCTAATATTTAAGGTCCAGCCTATAAATTATCAGTTTGTAAAGATTAGAAACACATGTGAGTTTTGGTCAATTTAATACAGCTAATTGTTTCAATTAAAAGAGGAATTTACAGCTACGATTTATTCTAGAGAACCTAACTAAGCTAACTCTCCAGTGGAAACAAAGCACATTGCTCTTAGTATTAGAAATTGCAGGTATAAGGGTGACCCATCAAACCATTCTGGATTGTGGCTTTCCAGGCAGAGCTATGCCAAAGCCAGAGACTGGAGGGGCAGCGCCTCTTCAGTATGCACTGGGGAGGATGAGGCTACCCATTGATTTCTCTCCTTAAACAGGATACACTCGCTTAATGACTTAGTGATCTTCATCTACCCTTTGAGAGATCTCTCGGCGTTTGTTTAGTAATGAGTCCCTTGGGGCACTGTTCTGTGATCTCACAATGGATATCCAAACGTGCCGAAGGACACAATTGTCCTTTATTAAATGGCTTAGTGCAGGACCTGCCCTCTGGTTTCGGCTTCTCCCAGCTCACAGTTTCACAGTGAGAGCTCCACTTTCCTCAACAGTACTCATTTAGCTGTTGCACTTTGTGGTAAAATAAAAATAACATCAGAGACCAGGAGTGATGCCACAGGTTTTGCTATCACAAAATGATTTTCCAAGCCTGACTTTATTTATAAAAAGCCCTTTCCAACCCAAGTACTTTGTACGTAGTGATAAAAAAAAACAATAAAAAGTAAATGAATAAACTTAAAAAATACAGGATAGAAAGTAGGGCAATCATAGGTCCTGGTAAAAAGGTGAATTTTGGGTTTAAATATGAAGAGAGTCAAAGGAAGGGAAAACGAGGGAGCAGGGACAGAAAATGTCCGGTCGCGTGCTTATCATTTACGGTCACGGTTATCGATTATTGAACCTTAGAAAGGTAAAAGCCAAACTGTCTAATAAAAAGTGCACTGCCAGTACACGACTTCAAGAATTGGTAAAATGATACTGGTTCAGCTGCAGCAAGTAAAATAATAGACTTATTCTCAGTTGCGCACAAAGTTGAAGACAAACTTATAGGCAGGAACATACATTGCTCAGACAGAACACTCCTACTTTCCAAGCTCAACAGAGGAAAATATTGCCCAGGTTTAAACATCAATCAAACAGTTCAGTATATTGATTAATCTGTGCATTGCTTCAGCCTTAATGGTAATCACGGAGCTTGGCACACAGGGTTTGTATAATAGGTACAAATACCAGCTTAGTGTTGATCCTCCTCAAAACATGAATAGGCTGTTTTGTGGTGAATTACCGCACGTAATTACTGGGTACAGAGGCTGTGTAAGCGTGGTTTCAGAAGAAAGCAGAAAGGGAGTCCAGAAGATGGTCACTTTCAATAAACTGCACAGTCATAATTTAAAACACTCAGTTGTACAGT